ATTGCCAAAAAAAAAAAAAAAGTAACCTGGAAAGCCAATTTTCACCAAATTGGTGGAACAAACAACACTTTTTGGGGAAGATGAAATTTTATTTTCAATTTTCATGGAAAATCCTCCAAATCAAACAAGCCCTTGTAATAATTACGCCGATACTCTGTGATCTTTACGGTCTTTCACTGCATGCGCCTCTTTTTTTTTTCCTTAAAGAGTTAAAAAATGCCCTCATTTTATAATTAACAATATCTCTAGCCTTTTCTTTTCCCGAATCAATAATTTCAAGTTAGAGATAAATTTTATATCTAAGCTGATTTATTTTGGTTTGAAATCTCATATCTAAATAAATCAATTTAAATATGAAAATCAAGCACCGCCCAAGTCGGTCATTAACACCATCTGCTCTAGTCACCACCCACCATACATGTTTTGTGCCTTATACGATGTGAAAGTTGTATTTCTATTTTTTCTTTTTTTCTTTTTTTTTTTTTGTGGTGGGTTGAGTTGAAGGTGGTGACAACCGACGATAGTGGTTGTGGTGGTAGCATTGACAAACGATGGTGTAGAGTGATATTAGATGACTACATGATGAGTCTTGGAACAAAGAACATTCATTGTAGTACGGAAAAATAAAAAAAAGAAACCCGAAAAAATTCTTTCACTCTCGTCATTCTAATTTTTTAAGGAGGTGATTCAACATAATGAAAAGAGTAGGTAAATGTTTCTAATAAAGTTTGGCGGTTCCTATTTGTGCAAAATTTGTTTGACAAGAAACACAATTCATATTATATTGACAAAACACGTTCAAGACAAAAAAATATAATTAAGCGAGTGGCTGCTTAGGGCGTGTTCGGTAGAAATTAAAATCGGATTAAAAGTGAAAAATTAGCCGTTATTGTTGACTTTTATTAGACAAGTGAGACCCAATAATAACTATATTTTCAATTTTAATTGAATTTAAGCTTGGCCAAACATGCTCTTAGTCTCATCTAAAGATCATTACCTTATAATTATTTTAATATTCAATTTATCTAAACTTTTTAATTGTATCAAGTGGTGACCAAACTTTGATCGGGGCGAATGGATCAATTACTACTCGAGAATATATAGCTCATGGAAATGTTTAACATTCTAGAAGGAGGAAGTGGGCAAAAAGAAAAAAAGGCTTTTGTCCCACACAAAAGTAGTGGTGGGAGAAATTATGGCTATAATGCATATGGCCCATCACACCAAATTTATTCTCAATTTTAGACAAGATTTAACTCAAGAAAGTACTACTAATGGTGGTTAGAATTGAGAATTACTTTTTTTTGAGAGTAAATCATTTCTTACTAGCTAATAGGATTAACACTTGTAAGTAAGAAAAAACTAGTATATTTAGCATGCTTAGCTAAACAACTTGCTTAAATTTTCTAAAAGAGTTTTGATGAAGATTATTAGAAGTTAGACAAACTATTGAACTCTTAGGGATATGGTCGCGTTAATAGAATTCCCTTCTTCTCGTAGAGATAGATTTGCTTTCTTTTTGTTTGTTTCTTTCATTTTTTGTCCGTCTCAAATTATATGTCAATTTTCTAATTGAGAGTATAGATGATTTTTTTATTTTATAATATGACCCTATTTAATTTGTTCTGTTATTAATAAATATGGAATACTCCTATTTAAATTACTCCATCCATCACATTTATATAGACTGGTCTTATTTTTCA